GAAAATAGTTATTATAGAATATATTTATTTATTTGTTTATTTGAACGAAATTATTTTAGAAAATTTTTCCCTAATGCATTCAATACAGTATCTGGATGCACTATAAAATCAGTCAGCATTGTAAATATCACAATGATTTAATGTGCTTTTTAATTTACTTTTAAGTTAGAATTACTTCCATCAATCAGTTCAGTCTGTTCACTTCAATGAATTGATTCAAAACTCTGATTCACTGATTCTTTTAAACCATCGCTCCAATTGTCATGGATATCTCATAGTGCTGGGCGGTATGACCAAAAATTTATATCACGGTATTTTTCAAAATGATACCGGTTTCACGCGTTTTCACACAGTTTTTTTTTTTTCATGCGTGACCGGGTGTTAACCATATTTTCTACTGATTGAGAGAGTAAATACTGCAGTATATTGACTTAGAATGCCCTATTTTACTGTCATGATGAGTGAATGTTGTCAAAAAATACCACACTAAATAGTGACTAAACACGACCCCTTTTAATACGTGTTAACCAGGAGTCACTCTCATTTATAATTGCGGCATCGTCTGGGGATGTTGGCTCGTGTGTTGTTTTTAAATGTCAAGATGACATCTGTGGAAGTAATTGTGCTCTTCAACCGCTAACTGATGTCCAACATCACCAAACCGCACTGCGGCAAGCACTGCAATTGTTTATTGTTTAGTCTTTTGAAAAAAAATTATTATAATTGGTTTGATTGATCTTTTAGTAATGATGAATGAAAACATGACTGAAAAATCCCATTGACTTTCACTACAGTTCAAAAATTTGGGGTCTGTAGGATTTTTTGAATGACCAAGGCTGCATTTATTTGATAAAAAATACTGTAAAAATTGTGAAATATTGTGACAATTTAAGTTTTCAGTTTGAATATTTTGTCAAATTTAATTTATTCCTGTGATCGTTACTCCAGTCTTCATTGTTTGTTTGTTTGTTTATTTATGTTTTAAAGCACATTTATGCAACCAAGGTTGCCCAAAGTGCTGTACAAGCATAATAAATAAAATAATAAAAAGGACAGACTCAGTACATTTACAATTTAAACACCAATTAATGTTAAAACTCTGGACGATTATAAATGACCTTTTAGCAAGGCTTTAAAAATTGAAATGGACTGAGCAGATCTTATATGCATAGGCAGTGCATTCCAGAGTTTGGGGGCGGCAACTGAAAAAGCACGATCTCCTTTAAGTTTGCATCTGGTTCTGGGAATCACTAAAAGAAACTGATCGGAAGACCTCAAAGGCCTGAGAGAGGAATATTGGCTCACCAATGTTTCCAAATATTTTGGGGCCACTCCATTTAAATATTTAAAAACAATCAATAAAAGTTTATATTCAATTCTAAATTGAACCGGCAACCATTTAAGAGATGACAAAATTGGGGTAATATGGGCATGCTTTCGAGTGCCAGTCAGCAATCTCGCTGCCGCATTTTGAACTGACTGTACCCGAGCCAAGGTTTTCTGGCTAACACCCACATAAAGAGAATTACAATAATCTAGGCGTGAAAAAATAAAAGCATGAATGACTGTCTCTAAATCACTAAAAGACAGCAGGGGCTTCATTTTTGCCATAAGCCTCAGCTTAAAAAAGCAGGACTTTACCACAGATTTAATTTGTTTGTCAAATTTAAATTCAGGATCAAATAATACACCTAAAATTTTTCACCACTGCTTTGTTAAATACATTCAAAGATCCCAAAGCAGCAGAGATAGAAGAACAATTTCCAACTGAACCAAAAAGCATGATCTCAATTTTGCCTTCATTTAGTTTAAAAAAAATGCTGCCAACCATCCTTTAATGTCAAGAAAGCAGTTTACAAGCGGACTCATTTTCCTTATACAATGGCAAATAAATCTGCATGTCATCAGCATAGCAATGAAATACAACGGCATGCTTCCTAAATATACTTCCCACAGGTAGCATATACAATAAAAACAAAGGAGCAAGGCTATATCCTTGAGGAACTCCGCATTTTAGTGGAGCTGGCATTGACAGATGTTCACCAAGTTTAACCGCAAAACTTCTACCTGTAAGATAAGACTTGAACCAGTCAAGGGCCACTCTGCGTATTCTGACATGATTTTCCAACCGAGAGACTAAGATATCGTGATCTACGGTATCAAAAGCCACACTCAGGTCCAACAACATTAAAATCAACGACACTTCTGAGTCAGCACTTAAAAGAATATAATTTTGAACTCTTAAGAGTGCTGATTCTGTACTATGTTTTGTCCTAAACCCAGATTGAAAAACTTCAAAAATAGGGTTTTTTTCCAAAAATTATTGCAGTTGAATAAACACTGCCCTCTCCAAAACCTTGGAGAGATATTGGCAGCTTCGAAATAGGTCTATAATTAGAAAAATAAGCAGGGTCCAAACTGGTCTCTTCAATAACGGCTGCACGATCGCATACTTAAAACCACCTGGCAAAGAACCTGTCACCAGGCAGTTATTTATTAATTTCAAAATACTCTGACCAATAGCATTAAATACCTGCTTCAGAAAGCGCGCAGAAATATAATCTTGGGGGCTGGTGGAGGGATTCAAATTATTTACAATCGCTGCCAAGTCTGACAGAGAAACTGGCTCAAACTGATGAAAAACAGAAGAGCCAGTTTCAATCAGTTCTGGTTGATCATAATCAAAGTCTTGAATGGAAGATCTCATTTCAACAATCTTATCTAAAAAATTTTGTTTACACTTATCACATGATTATAAAAAAACTTCAAATCCAACTGAAACCAGTGGATTTATCACTGCATCCAGAGTATTAAATAGGACCCTTGGATTTCCACAATTTTTTTCAATAACAGTGGAGAAATATTTTCCCTCACGGTTTCGACTAATTTCAAATAACAGTCCCTTAAAATCTCCAAAGCCCCTTGAAGCCTGTCCTTTCTCCTTTCTCTGTCCGTCTGCATAATCGGCGCAGCGCATGAGTGAACTCATTCAGCCAATGTTCATATTTTAATTTTACCCTTTTTGTCTTCAATGGAGCAATCAAATATTAGTGCATGTCGAGGACAAAGAAGAGAAAAGTTAATCGGAAACCATACTTGATAATGGACTCTCACTGTCCAAATTCACAAGAGCAAAATTGTTATACATGGTGCAAAAATCATCAACAGTTTTAGAATTCAGTTTCCGGCATTTATAAGTAGGAAACCCCGGTTTCCTTTCAGAACATAAAAAAGAAATATTACAAATCACAGATTTGTGGTCATAAAAACCAGTATCAATAATTTCAAGGTCCCTGACACTCAACCCATAAGTAAAAACAAGATCCAAAGTATGACCATATTTATATGTCGGACCATTTACATGCTGAACTAAATTGAATGATTCAATAACATTTAAAAAGTCTCTTGCCAATATATCAGACGGACAGCAGACATGAATATTAAAATCCCAGAGGATCAAAAGTCTGTCATACTTCGTCCTAATTCCTCCTAAAAATTCAGCAAAATCCTAAATAAAATTCTTATTTTCTTTTGGAGGCCGATATATCACCACACATAGCACCGGAATTTGTGCGTCTATTTGCATCAACATCATCTCGAAACTGGAAAAAGTGTCCCATTTCACACTATGGCAGATAAATTGTCTTTTAAAAACCGTAGCCAGGCCTCCACCTCGTCCTGTGGTACGAGGAGAGTTTAAAAAGTCATAGTCTGTCGGTACCAATTCCGTGAAAGGGTTAAGATCATCCACTTTTAACTAAGTGTCAATGATTCTTCAGAAATCATTCTAATATGCTGATTTGCTGCTCAAGAAACATTTCTGATTATTATCAATGTTGAAAACAGTCGTGCTGCTTCATATTTTTGTGGAAACTATGATACATTTTATTTTTCAGGATTCTTTGATGAATAGAAAGGTTAATAACAGCATTTATTTGAAATAGAAAACTTTTGTAACATTATAAGTATCTTTACAGTCACTTTTGATCAGTTTAATTCATCCTTGCTGAATAAAAATATCAATTTCTTTCTCAAAAAAAAAAAAAATCTTACTCACCCCAAACTTTTGGACGGGAGTTTAGTTATGTTAGAAAGACTAAATATGACTAGAAATGACTGAGATTGGTTGTGGTTTTATCTTTCGATCAGATTTGAAATGCCATTTGACTTAATTATCTAATAACTATACATGTAAATGCAGTCAGGTAGTAGCATGTTTTGGATATCTTAGGCTGACTACACCCGATTTTGAGCCCGATTTGCACCCCTCAGTGAACGTGAGGGTGAGGCCCGATTCAAGGCTTGTCGCAACCAACTTTTTGTCCAAAATATCCTCAATTGTGTGGTGTCATTACGATTATTTTACTGCGCCCGATCGCATCAGAGCCTCCATGATCCCAAATCATAAATATCAAACATGTTTGAAATTTACGACTCTTGATGGGGCTGCCTCTAATGTGATCCCTGCGATAGCCAATGAGAGCGAGCAAGCGTCACCTACCAGATGTTGTGTGCTTCTATAGCTGAAACTTGACAGTGGAGTATTGAGAAAGAATATCACCCATATTCTTTTTTTCTCTTTTGTTTTTCACTGTACAACAGAACGAGCGCCAGGAGAGCCAGCTGACAACGTCGATTGTCCTCCATGTGCTTTTCTTCTTAAATCACGTTTGATCTCGCGAGTCACTGTGAAATCATTCCTACAATCGACAGGTGTGTGGTCTCGTGGTCCTGCCGGATCCTCTAGTTTGTGCATTCAGAGGATTATATAAGGCTAAAAATCGGTTGAAACTGTCATTATGTCTGTGGTCTCCCACAGTTTTAACATTTGAAAATCGTCTAGTGTGTCCCAGGCCTTAGTATCACAAGTGCTGCTTTCCCTCCAAAGTGAATCGATCTCCCCATTCAAGGCATCTAAAGGACTGAAATACCTTGTGTTTTGGGAAATGAATCTCAGGCCATGATGTTCTAAAGGGGTGTTTTTCCAGAAATAGCTCATTATGACTGTGTTGATGCTTGCTGTTGTATCGTGTGTGATGGTGTTTGTGGATCTCTGGGTAAATCCTGCAGCAGAGGCTCAGATCAATAATGCCAGTGATGGAGACGTGTGCTCATGTGCGGTTATGAGCGATGCTTAATGTCAATGTCAATGTCAATTTTATTTATATAGCACTATTAAACACAACCGTGGGTTGACCAATGTGCTGCACAATAAAAACATTTCAATAAGTCAATACAAAATAATTACTAAAAGAAACAGTACAGTAGAATGTTCTCATTGATAAAACGCCAAGTCAAAAAGGTAGGTTTTCAACATGGATTTAAAAACAGATAGTGAAGGTACAGATCTAGTACAGTGGGGCAGAGCATTCCACAATTTAGGGGCAGCAACTGAGAAAGCGCGGTCACCCCTGTATTTAAGCTTCGACTTTGGGATGCATAATAATCTCTGGTTGGACGACCGGAGAGACAAGAGGGGCTGATGTTCAGTCAATAAATCAGATAAATAAGCAGGGGCCAAACCATTTAATGATTTAAACACTAAGAGAAGCATTTTAAAATTAACTCGATAGCGCACAGGCAACCAGTGCAGAGAACGTAAAACTGGTGTAATATGATCCCGTTTTTTGGTACTCGTTAAAAGCCTTGCAGCTGCATTTTGAACTATCTGCAAGCGGGATAGGGCTGACTGACCAATCCTAAAATACAGCGAGTTGCAGTAGTCTAATCTAGATGAAATAAAAGCATGAATTACTTTTTCAAAATTTTTACTAGACAAAATAGATTTTACTTTCGCTAGAAGTCGAAGCTGAAAAAAGCAGGACTTGACCACCGTATTTATCTGTTTATCAAATTTTAAACCATCATCAAAAATAACACCCATATTTTTTAAGAGGTTAAATCGCCAAGATTTACTTTCGGTGTACTACGAGAATCCGACGGACCAAACACAATTATTTCAGTTTTACTCTCATTGAAATTAAGAAAATTTAAAGACAACCAGGCTTTCACATCAGACAGCTGTCTTGAGCTAATTCACACTCGCAAACAAAAGTTTATATTTGCAAACTCAAAACCTTATTCATTTTAACAAAATACAATTTGCAAATGCACAACCAAATATCCTCAAATGCAAAAACAATTCATGAATATCCAAGTATGTTTGCACAGTTCTGAATGTTTGTATGTGTATGAACTGATTGTTGAATGTGTATTTGCAAATCGTTGATCACTGTGAATTTATGTGCCTATTTGCAGACTTTCCTGCCAGGCACAGATTTACATGTTTGTGTTTTTTATACATTCTCTTTAGCCAATCAGATATGAGTTTAAATAAATAAAAATTAATGAATGTGAATTAGCCTTCAGATTTTGGAATCAAATTTTCAAACATTTATTTTGAGGCTCTTTTAGATCCAGACTTGTGTGCTGAGAGAGAGTTTTGTGTGAGCGCTCTGAATCTACAGGAATGCTTGTTATTAATATGTGTGGCACTGAGATGAGAGAGATGAAAGAGTAATGAGAAAATGGAAATTAATAACAAACTCCCCTTCATCTGTTCATTCTCATGATCACATATTCATACCTGCTTTCACTCCATACAGACTGAAGAAATAGTTCACAGGCAGTGAAAATGTTGTCTATTTACTCAGCCTCATGTTGCTTTTTTATCTTCATGCATGCATTTGATCTTTTTCTGTGCTACAGTGTTACTTTTCTAAGTCATATGAGTTGTTTGAGGAACATTTGAGTCATTATTTGCTCATAAACTCTCTATAGAGACTTTCACTTTTATCTTTCATATTTTTGCACTGTTTTGTTTTGTTCATCAGTGTTTCTAACTGTTAAAGCAATAGTTCACCCAAAAATGAAATTTTGCTGAAAATGTACTCACCCTCAGGCCATCCCAGATATAGATGAGTTTGTTTCTTCATCGGATTTGGAGAAATGTAGCATTCCTCACTTGCTCACCATTGGAGTGAATGGGTGCCGTCAGAATGAGAGTCCAAACAGCTGATAAAAACATCACAATAATCCACAGCACTCCAGTCCATCAGTTAACATCTGGAGAAGACAAAAGCTGTGTGTCTGTACAAATCTGAAAACAAAATGATGAAACAAATCATTTAGGCATTTTTAACATCAAACCATTGCTTCTTGCTAAAATATGAGTCCTCAATTCAAAATATTGCTTTCTCCAATGAAAAATAATCTTATCTGAATCAGGAGAGAAATCTGCACAGATCAAGCACTGTTTACAAACTGAAACAGTCTAAAACAGTTCTACAGAAATACGTGTATGGATTTTGATGTGAGAGACAACAGGAGATGGACTTTTTCACTCGAGGAAGCATTATTATGGATTATGGGCTCATATTTTGGCCAGAAGTGACTGTTTCAAGTTAAAATACCTTAATGATGGATTTTCTTACAAACATGCAGATTTTGGATTCACAAGATGACAGCATGTTGTTACCGGATTCGGTTCTCTTCCGTAATTGAATTGGAAAATGTAATATAGGACGTGATTTTATTTGTCAGGAAATTATTGGATTGTAAACAGTGTATCTTTTTCACTGGAAGAAGTGTTATTATGGATTATGGGTATTTTGGCCAGGATCAATGGTTTAAATTTAAATAGTAAGAATAGTCTGTACAAATACTTTTTAAGTGGGAGAACTTGCACAATTGGTGGCTGACTAAATACTTTTTTGCCCCACTGTATGTACATATACTGTATATATTGCTATCCTTAATATTTAGTATACACATTATGTTTATTGTTTTCAGCATAGAGTCAGTATGAGCTCTGAATCATGACATTCCTTGTGACTCCCATCTTGTGCTTGTTCCAGTGAATGGCTGCGAATGAATGTATTGCAGTCGCTGGTGTGTATCTGCGCAGATCCTGTAAGTTCTCTCTCTCTCTCTCTCTCTCACTCTCTCTCTCTCTCTCTCTCTCTCTCTCTCTCTCTCTCTGTCTCTCTCTGTCTCTCTCTGTCTCTCTCTCTCCAGGCCCCTCCCCCGCCACTCAGGAGTTGATGACACGTTTGGGGTTCTTGCTGGGTGAAGGCATCCCGGGCTCCACGCGCATACCTATGGACGACAAGAATGAAAAAAAGGTATTTTCCACAGCCGCTGCCAGAGTGAGAGAGCGAGACAGTGAGACAGACGGGAGAAAACCTCAAGGATTAAAGCCGCGTGTTTGCCGTCTGACAGTGTGAGACGTGATGAGGAGTGTGTCTGTGTGCCACCACAGTAAGTCATTCCCGTTCGCTCTGAGCCGCTGCAGAGCCAGCGACCAGAAACTTGAGTCGTGTTAACTTGAGGTCTGCTCCAGAAATAGTTTTGTTCTGTCAGGGTTTCAGATGATAAGATAATTAAGCTGAGGCTGTGGTCCGAACGCCCTTCATGTGGAATGCTTTTGTTTAATAAATCATAATGCTTCGTCGCTCTGAGTGCCTGTGGGAATTGCATGAAGAGGGAAGCAACAATGTGCGTCTTTTAAATAATTGGTAATGATCTGCGTCGTGTGTTCTTGGACGATGTTGTCCAGTGGGATTCGGTGAAGGTCTTTAATCTGTTTCATCAGGATGCCGGCTGGAAGTTTGTTTTAAAGGAACTTTCATCTGGTTTTGTGACCTTGACTGACTCACAGTCCAGCGCTGACTCAGAGGGGCTGCTGGTGTTTGGGGTCTAAGAGAAAAGGATGTAAACAATCTGCTTAATTCAGGCTGTTGAACAGTCAATAACGTGATGGTATTTCATTTTATTTTGTCTAGACCTGTTATGTTATTCAAAAACATGTTCAGAAATAAATTCACCCAGACAGCGAAATGAAATCAAAGTCTGAATTGAAATGAATTATGATATTTTGGGGGTTTTGATGTCAAAAATGTCTATGTCTGAGTGTCAAAAAATAATTTACTTTTAAAAGCTGAAACACTTGAAAAAAATGGCATAATTATTGGCATAATAATTATAATAATCATCGTCATCATAAACCGTAGAATACTTTTATATTTAAATGTGTATTAATAATAATAATAAACAGGGAAATAGTTGTACATTTAAATGTATTAATAATAGTAATAATAATAGTTTAGCAGTTCTATATTCAGATATTAAAATTTAATATCACAGTGTGGTGTAATCAATATGCAGGAAGCTATTTTGTTGTTATGTGACAAGAAACACTAAGCAAGAAATGACATCGAGGACCGCTGTGGACCCTAATGATTGAATGTTGGGTCAGTAAGTTTCTTAAACTGTTGATATTTTTTATTTGATTTTAAAGTCAATAATGTCTAGTGGGTGTAAATTTCAAATCATTTCCATTTAAACGCTGAATTTCTTAGTAGTACTAATATAATTAATTTCAGTGAAACAGTTTTATATTTAAATATCATAATGATAATAATAATTATTATTATTAATAAATGTTGAACTGGCAAGGTATGGGAAATGCAGTCGACGACAAGAACATCATGAGCCATCTGTTCTACATGGACGACTTCAAGATCTTCGGTAGAGACAAGAAGCAGCTCAAGCAGGTAATGCACATTATCAAGAAGTTCAGTGACGACATCCGATTGGAGTTTGAACAAGACAAATGCACAACTGTTGTCTACATGAGAGACGTACGAGTCAATAGCCACAACATCCAGCTGAGCAGAGGTTCGTCCATCAAGAACCTCGAGCAGGACAAAGTGTACAAGTACCTAGGCATCGACGAAGGCGATGGTATTCAGCACAATGAGATGAAGAGTAAGATCTCCAAGGAGTACTACCGCCGAGTCCATCTGGCACTTAGGAGCAAGCTCAATGCCAAGAACAAGATCAGTGCTATCAACAGTTTAGCAGTCCCTGTCCCCACATACAGCTTCGGCACGATGGATAGGAGAGTAGAGGAGATCAGGAAGATGGAAAGACAAGGAAATTGCTAACGATGCACCATCCGAAAGCAGACACAGACCTATTGTACATCAAGAGACGCGATGGTGGCAGCAGGCTTATTGAGCTGGAGTCTGCGTACAACATCGCCATCGTCAGCCTTAGCAAATACATTGAGCAAGATAGTGACAAGCTCATGAACAGTGTTGGGGGTAAAGTATTACCAGGAAACGCGGGTTACGCAATCAGATTACTTTTTTCAAGTAACTAGTAAAGTAATGCATTACTTTTTAATTTACAAGAAAATATCTGAGTCACTGTTTCCCATGTATTGACTTACAGCTCTCCTGTTCTCATGTTGAGAGAAATCAGGAGCGAGTGCAGAGGCGTTGTGTGCAGAGGCTGTGTGAACATGATGTTACTGTAGCTCTAGACTCAATGTCAGCATGCATTAACTCATTTCACTCACACAAAAACAGATTCAGTATTCCTCAAAATGAAAATCTAAAATGACTTTAGATAAACATACCATTTGTGTTTCTTTTTGTTGTTGTTGTTGTTTCTGAAGAGAGAAAAACGAGGCCAAGGCAGATGAGAAAAAGTAACGTAAATCATTACTTACCATAAAAAGTAACTAAGTAACGTAATTAATTACTTTTTTAGGAAGTAATGCAATATTGCAATGCATTACTTTTAAAAGTAACTTTCCCCAACACTGCTCATGAGTATGGTTAAGAAGCATGAAGCCAGCAAAACCAAGTATGCCCTGACGAAGACGGCGAATGAGATCCGCAAACACTATGAATGAATGAGGGATTTATATAGCACTATGTGTGTACTGTTGTACACCCAAATCATGTTACAATCATATGAGGGGTCTCTCCTCAACCACCACCAGTGTGCAGCATCCACTTGGATGGTGCGACGGCAGCCTCAGAGCAACGGCGCCAGTGCGCTCACCACACACCAGCTACAGGTGGAGAGAAGAGAGAGGCAGAGCCAATTCAGTGGATGGGGATTATTAGGGAGACCATGATTGGCAAGGGCCAGTGGAGGGAATTCCGCCAGGACACCGGGTTACACCCATACTCTTTACGAGAAGTGCCATGGGATTTTTAGTGACCACAGAGAGTCAGGACCATCAGAAGGACAGTGTTTTTTACAGTATAGTGTCCCCGTGACACTGGGGCGTTAGGACCCACACAGACCACAGGGTGAGCAGCACCCTCTGCTGGCCTCACTAACACCTCTTCCAGCGCCACCTAGTTGTCTCCCATCCAGGTCTCCTGACCAGGCTCAACCCTGCTTAGCTTCAGTGGGCAACCGGTCTTGGGCTACAGGGTGATATGGCTGTTGCCATGGCCTTCCCAGGCATGAGGATCATCCAGAGATCGCTAAAAAGGTGGGCGGAAAGCCAAGCTGGAGTTCTCTAGGTGAAGGTCGAGCACTGAGAGAGAATATCGAACGAGATCGGATCGAGTGTGTGAAGGAGAAGGCTCTCCACGGCAAGTTCTTCAAATATCTGAATGAGCCATTTGTAGACAAGGAAGCCAGTCTGATCATTGCTGCCCAGGATCAAGCACTTAACACCAGGCAAATAAGTATTAATAAAAATAATAATATTTTATATATTTATTATAATAATATAATTACTGACAATTAATCAGTTTTATATCTAAATATTAATATTTAGCATGTCATTAATTATAGAAAGCAGTTTTGTTGTAATGTGACAGGAAACATTTGAAACAGGAAATGACTGTAAACCCTTGTGACTCTACGTCATGTCAGTAAGTTTATTGAGATTTTGAATATACGTAGATGCTAATAGGTGGTTTTCTCTAGGTATTCTGTGAAGTTCTGGCTTGAGGCATGTGAAGGATCTTTGGATGAGGTTCTGGTGGCATGTCAAGGCTTTTTGCCTCATTAGTTTTGGTTTTATTTGAATGAAGAGAAACCTCAGACTCTGGCATTGATTTAGCTGTTGTGCATTAAACTGAGCATTGGCGTTACAATCCTTTTCTCTCTCTCTCATCTCTCTTCTGCCCCTTCATATAATCCAGATAAAAGTGTTTGGATTATTTCTGCTGAAGCACATCAGCGTGTCTCTCTGTTGTCTCTCTGCAGTGTCCAGTGAATCAGGGAATCAGTCCATGTTCTACTCTGACCAGCAGCACAGCGTCTCCGTGTACGGACAGTCCCTGCTCCACCTTAAACAGTAACAGCGGCCGTCCTGTCTGTGGAACCATCATCAGCCCCAGCTCCACCCTCGAGAGCAAAGACAGCGGTATCATTGGTGAGACACACACACACACACACACACACACAAACTCAAAATCAACATCTTTCCCACAAATACTCATTAGCATAATGTGAAAGAATCTCAGCACTGTAAAATCTAGTTAAATGACCATCATCCAGTCGGGACCAGGGCTATTATAGTTAACTGAAACTAAAACCATGAAAAGGTTTCAGTTTCTTGAAATAAAATAAACATGAACTGAAATCAAATATAAAAAACGTTTTATTTCAGCTAGTTGCCAAGGCAACATTTCTGATTTTTATTTAGTTTAACTTGAAAATAACTAAAACTAAAACTAAAATAAACATTTATAAAAACTATATAGACATATACAAAAACTACTAAAAATAGCAAAAACACAATAAAATTACTAAAACTTTAACTAAAATTATAATGAAAATGCAAAATATACAAATAAAATATTTATAAAAAAACTAAATAATTCTAAAAGCTATTATAGTCATTCACTGATTCCAAAGTAACACTGATCTTGAAACAACATTTTATTCATATTTTTTAATTAAAATCATGTCAATTTAATCCAAAAATACTGCCATTATGCATTTACTTACAATTTTATTCTACAATTAAAATAATCTTTAAATAAACAAATATTAAGGAATAAATATATATGAAATAAATGTCTTTATTTTTCCATTGTAACAATGAAAGTGAGCATTACAGGCTGATAGCCCTAGTTTCTGAGAAAATTCAACTTCCTTTCAGTTCAGTGAATGTTCTTGTCCTCCCGTCATTCAGAAATAGTGTAATTTATATATAAATATTAATATTCAAATATCAGCATGGTGTTTATAATAATAATAATAATAATCAGAAATAATCCTGTGGCCCAAAATCTTATAGAAATTATTTCAGATTTTAGTATATCATATTATAATATATATATATATATATATATATTACATTTTTTTTTATTGTGAAGTAAAAATGTAAGTATGCATCATGGTAGTATTTGTTTTTGCTAAATTTAATTAATACAAAAATGAATTTAAAAAGTGTATCCAAACTGATTTAGATTTTATTAGATTTTTGACATTAAATGAAGGGGAATGAGATTGTTACACATTATGGTAATAAGAATTTGTGAGGAAAATATGCTTATATTTAGATTTTCAGTAACATATGACCTGAGAATTTCTATGTCACCCAATAACTGAAAAGCTGGCCCACCATCACCAGTTTAGGGTCTTCATCACCCCATTAAAACCCCTTCCCATCATCCTGTGCTCCACAAGCTCTGCTTCATTATGTGGAGAATGAGAGCGAGCTGAAATCTCAGCTCATGTTGGCCTGCAGATCCAAACGTGGGGGGTTTCGCAGGACGAGGGTGTTGATGCAGCTTGGCTGCTTCAGAAAGTCAGTTTTGAGCTCCGCTCTGCATTTTTTCGGTTGCAGATCGAAAGATTAAACATTTCTCTATGAATTATGCACCATACAGGCTGGCAGTCCTAGTTTCTGAGAAAATATTAGAGAATATGTGTTATTGCCACAAAGTTGTAGTTAGAAAGGGGTGTCTGACCCTGAATTATAGCCAGTTTATAATCGCATTTGTCTTGCAAGGAGTTTATTTTGTCCTTTAGATGTAGTACACATAAGAAGCATGACGAATTTCGGTGTAAATTGTTTGTAAAATCCATCCTTGCAAGAATTGTTTTGTGAACGGGTTACACAGAAATTGGTTCTGCTGGTGTTTGATGCATTAGGCCTATTGCCAGTGTCATTTGCTCTTTACACAGAGTTTTAGGATGAGAGAAATCAGCAGACTTGCTGAAAAAATTCAGTAAAATTTACGGCCAGAATTTTACCGTAAAAAATACGGTAGCAGCATTTTTGATTTTATGAATTAAATTTAAATTTACATTTAAAAATCGTATTTCATTGATTCGACTGCCTTGATGTAGAGGAGCGTGTTTGGCCTGTGTGACCCACTCAGTTTGTGAAGAATCAGCAGAAAGAAAAGCAAAACATTCAGTTCAGAAAGAGTGTGAACAGCTGTTTCGATGCAGTCACTGAGACACATGTGTGCATGGATACTGTAAACTCGGCACATCTGACACCACATTGAACATCTGGCTGCTTCTCTTTTATTGAAACCCAGAAAGAAACAGTGTTTGAGGATTTTTATACATTTCAACAATGAAGAAGAAATGTTTAATGGGTTCTCATAGTCATGAAAACCCTGGACTTATATGAATGCCTGGAAAAATCAGGGAAATAAAAGCAAACCTAAAAAGTTATAGCAATTTCTATAGTGCATGTAATTGTTTCTAGTATTCAGTATTTCATTTGTTATTATTGCTTTTTTGTGAGTGCAGTATCTATAAAAGATTTTTTTGAACAATCGTCAAAAATAATTTCCAGCAGTCCAGTCATGGAGTTTCATTGGTCACAATTTTTGGGAACCCATGTATTTGTTTGCTTGTTTTTTATATTTTCTATATTTTCTTTTCTATGTTTCTAGTATGTTGGTTAGAATTGCTTTTTGTGAATGCAGTGTCTAAAATTATTTTAAAAAATTGAATTTTGAATAGTCAAATATTATTTCCAGCAATCCAAAATTGTGATTTCTTTCTTTCTTTTTCTTTCTTTCTTTCTTTCTTTCTTTCTTTCTTTCTTTCTTTCTTTCTTACTATCTTTCTTTCATTTATGGCATTTTATGTATTTATTTATTTATTTAGTGGAAAATTAACAACAAATAATTCCAGCAGTCCAGTCATGGAGTTTCATTTGTCACAATTTTTGGGAACCCATGTATTTGTTTGCTTGTTTTTTATATTTTCTATATTTTCTTTTCTATGTTTCTAGTATGTTGGTTAGAATTGCTTTTTGTGAATGCAGTGTCTAAAATTATTTAAAAAAATTGAATTTTGAATAGTCAAATATTATTTCCAGCAATCCAAAATTGTGATTTCTTTCTTTCTTTTTCTTTCTTTATTTTT